GCTCTCGCATCTCATCCCAGGAGGTGATCGATCCCGCGGGGAGGTTCAGGAGCCACGAGCGCGCGCCATCTTTCAGAGCCATGGGGAACCAATTCGCCATGACCTTCTCGTCGCTGTTGGCCGCCTCGATGCTCAGCTTGTAGAGCAGCAGGAACTCTACAGGGTCGCGGGTGCCGTCATAGCGCAGAGGCAGATCAGTCTTGAACTTTCCTGGCCAAACGACGCAGCGCAGCTCTAGAGTGAACGCGCGCCATCCCGTATGGTCACGGGAGCCCGCCGTGGAGAGCCTAATCTTAGCGCTTGCGCACCACCGCCTCCGGCGGCATGCGGTCTTGATGTGGCAGTGATGGGAGCGCACGCACCTCTCCTTGCGACCGATGCACCACTTGGCAGCTTTCCTCGTCGCGCGTCGACGCCCAGTGCGGCGGGTCGCGCCGTAGAGCCTCGCGCCTTGGCTCGGGGACGACGTCTTGCCTGGGAGGTGGAGGAGGCGCACCGTGGGCCACATCACCTGCCAGAGGCGGCGCGGGAGGCAGCCAGCGGGACCATGCAGGGGCCTCTCCAGCGGCGCTGACGAGCTCAGCGATGTGGTCCAGCCAGTCCTCGTAGAGGTCGTCGATCGGGCGGTAGCGCGGGAGCTCGCATGCCATGAGCAATGCCGCCTGCGCGTTCGCCGGCCCGCGACGAGCATGAGAAGACGAAGCAGCCGCCGTGGTCAGTGACGGAGTGGCGGTGCACCCATCACGCCGCACAGAAGGCTGCATCAACGAAGCCTGCTGCTCATGGGCCGCAGGGCCGGTGGCAGCGTTGGCTGCAAGCGATGGAGAACGACAGGGAGCATCGTTGCCTGCAGGCCACGCGAGCGGCGAGGGCGGCCCAGTGCTCAGCACGAACTCGACGAGCATCATCCATGGGGACGGTGAAACGGCGGCGAATCGACTGGAGGAAGAGAGGCTCTGACGTACCCGGCGCGCCAAATGTTGGATTCCGGGCTCCACGGACCCTAGATAGATTCAAACTCTGGGATCTTGGTCTTGTTGCATGGAAATGAAAACATTTGGCTGATTCCTCGGGACTCCACGTCTGCGCTTGCCTCTTTAAGACCAAAGAGGAAACTGTTGTATTGCGCCCGCTAGTGCCTGCCTGGCCTTGGTCGTCATGGCTTGCGTCATCCGAACCTCGCGAGGTGGAGGCTTGCATAGAAATCTCCGCTCCTCAGGAACCAGCCTGAGGAGGCCGCTCCTTCTGAAGGTCTTGGCGTCGTCCGCCTCGCGAGGCTCGGCCCCTCACAAGGGTCTTAAGTTGCTGATGCTGGAGGTGGGCCGTACCAGGCCGTTGACGGAGCCACGCCGTGGGCCACAGGCAGGCAAGTCTGGGTACCCCCATTTCCAGAATGCTGACATATACAAACTCTCTTCATAGTTTGGTCTTCCAATAGTTAACAATGCGGCCCTCCTGTCCGGCCCATTACAGTTATGTCGGCAGCCCGAGGACCCCCCGGTCCAGGACTCCCTCGACATGCCTCTTTGGGGTTCTTCTATGACTTGTTTTATTGTGTGTGAGCTGTAATATGTAATTCCTGCACAAAGTACTTTCACCAAGGGGTATTTTCGATAGTACTTTACTTTATCCTATGTCATATTATTTTCGAGGAGGCTCGTATACTTAACTTTATGTATACCCTAGTATTCATTGTTTCGTCAAACACTTTCATGAAGGGAGCGACGCTCAATTGCTTTTGTCATCGGATCCAACCACTCAAGATCAAATCTAAGTTTTCACCTTTGAAGAACCAGTGCAAGCATATCCGAGCAATGCCTCTACAAGGTCGCGACGTAATAACGTCATCATTGTCAAGCGTAAGCCACTCTGGTAACCTAGACTTTTTTAGGCACAATTGTTCTACGGTAATTTTCATTAATAACTATAAAATATTTACAAAATACACTAGAAATCTAAAAGAACAAAAGAGTTACATTCACCTGATTCCTTTTTTTAAAATGGAGTATTTATTGCTGCAATTTATTGAGTGCTGCTACCATCACATATGTGTAGTGATCCAATTTACTGAGTCACCTAGGCTTTCACCCCGGAGCTCGAGGCTGGGTGCTAAAGAAGCACCATCATCAAGTCATTCGTGTGTTGTCGTCATCACTTTTCCATGATCCCAACAGCTACATGTGATGTGTGACTGCCGCCATTGCACTATCATCTCTTTGCATCAAGCCATTGTCCATAATTTGCATCTCACAACTGAAGTCAACTACTGAATATGGAGTGACAAACCCTCACGAAGACCTTTCAGTTTTTTCTTTTTTTGAAAAGGAGGAAGACCCCGGCCTTTGCATCTAGACGATGCATGCAGCCACTTTATTAACTGTTCACACAAGACCTTATAAAGTAATACAACAGTAAGACTAAAGCCACCGTGTAGGCAACATCTGTGGCTACTCATATCCAATTGATGAAGGGATGCTAATAGTCTGGGCCTAATACCAAATAGACCTCGCAGCCAAACCTAACATCTAAGACCTGAGGGTATGGGTCACCCACCGGTCCGGCACACTCCTAAACCAGGACGCCTGCCGGGTATGAGGCCGCCGCCGCCACCTGCCACCAATCCATCTTCAGAGTTGTGTTGTTGCATCTACCTTGCTCGGTCTAGCTGCCGTCGACGCCATCACGATGCTAGACCGCGTCACCCTCCTGCGCGAGTCCATCTTCGCACAACGGACGTCGAGTCACCACAGCGCCATGCCGCCGAGACCCGCCGCCATCAATGAGTGAGATGACGCACCGATCCACCAAAGAATCCGTCCTCTGGTCCCTCAATCACGTGTGTACCTCTAAGAAAGACGCCCCCAAGGGGGGAACAACACCAGAGCACCGCCGTCATTCGATCATCCGATCTAGCGTTTCCCCCGGAGGTAGCAGAGAATGCCTTGAACTTCTCCACGGCGATGCCTTCAAGAAGGGAACGATGTAGATAGCGCCGCCACCGCCGACCTTGGCAGTAAGTCGAAAGAAATTTTTCACCCCGATCTGTTCAAATGAATTCAACTCCCATGCACGGCCGCCACCACCACCAGGCTAAGCACCTCCACGATCGAAGTTACCGGCGGAGCCTAGCCACCAGATGCACCACCACCGGCACCACCGCCATCCCACAGGGCCACCGACCACTCCCATCTCCAAAGCCTCCATCCCTGATCCAATCTGGGAGTACCCAGATCCGCTGCCAGGAGGCAGCGCCCATGCCAGGGACGCCGCACCACCGGAAGGGATAGCAAGGCGTCAGGGGAAGGCGCTGGGGACGGAAGTGACATGCTGCCCTACGGCGTTGTTGAGGAGAAGGAGCCCCGCATCCCACCTCGCAGAACAGATGGTGAGCAGCCCCGCCGCCACCAACGCCACGAGGGCTTTGCCCAGTGGCGCCCGTCGGCGACGGCGAGGGGAAGGGCAGCGCGGAAGGGAACCCCTAGGCGGCGGCGCCGCCGCCCTCCCGGGTTGCCCGCGGGGTGGACGACACGGGAGTCGTGGGAGTCCACGAAGACCTTTCAGTGACCACTGCAATCCATGGTGAGGCCGCTACCGGGATGAGATTACCCAGCCACCGACGAGGCCCAGCAGGCAGCCACGCGTCTGATCTCGACGTAGGAACCACACCGACGACGGCCGCCGCATCCCATCCATGACGCCCACCTCCATAACATGCCAGCCGGCATCACAAATCATTGTTCTCTGGAGCAAGCAACCATACCGACGACGGCCGCCGCATCCCATCCATGGCGCCCACCTCCATAACATGCCAGCCGACAGCACAAATCATTGTTCTCTGGAGCAAGCAACCATACCGACGATGGCCGCCGCATCCCATCCAGGACTGACCCAGGTGATAGAACCACCGTGGGGGGCAGGGCTCGCATCTGGCCCACCACGCATGAGAGCTATGGGTGTGCGTCTAGTTCCAGCCGACCTCCACCAGAACCGAAGCAACTATGGTCGCAGTTTTGTCTCAAAAAAAACTATGGCCGTAGTCGCGCCTCCTCTGGCACGCCAAATCTGGACGCAAGCAGCACATAGGGAGGCTCGTTCATCCTCCGCAGACAAGCCGGCAGACCACCAGCCGCCAACGGCCATGGAGCACCGACCAAAACTGCTGAGCTTGCACACGTGCAAAGCTAGCCATTGTAGAAGTGCATGCTCTATGCATGCTCTAGCCAATGCAACCAAAAGACCGATCTGATATAAGAGATTAGGCAGCACATTATACGTCAACACTCCCCCTCATGTAGTCACGTGTGGCTCTCTCAGGCCTAAACATGGACCAAAAGTGGGTTGCAATTTAATTGCGTCAGCCGGGTCTTAAACTTCTTGGCCCTAATACCATGTTAGAAGAGGGAGAGAGATTGTTGCGGAATATGATGGATGTACTGTATTATTGAGCCTTGAGGACGAGTATATATTGAGTACAAGATTTAAAAACAAGACGCCTCTCCTAAAGATAAGATAGGAATTCTAAACTATCAAATACATGTAATTCAAATATATTTCTAACAGCCATCAACCAAGCATACATCCAGTTGACTGAACACATGCACGTGAGCATGTCTTGGCTTAGTTTGATACGTTAAAGCGATTTAAACAATATACGTTAAATTTGGATTTATTTTTTAAAAAAAGTATTTGTTTTGAATTTTCTCTTAACCGAGTGTATATGAGTTCGGGCTCAGAAAAGGATATTCGTATAGTTAGAAGTATTATAATTCACCGCAATTAGCAAGCTCAGTCAGATGAAATTCCACAGAAACAAGTAAAGTAATCCGGCTATAAATCATGCGCGGTAAGTCCACATGGGGGCACGGAAACCTGCTCATTACCCACTTCCTGCTGTATGTCGTCGTTTCTACCACTGCTCTCTGTACCAAAACTCAGCAGAGGATTATCACATCGTCGTCTCCCGAGTTTGTTTTGGCCGGACACGCTCGATGCGCCAGAGCTCACACGGCGCCGTCTTTGCGTGTGCCCCCTCCACCTTCGCCGTGCATGTGCTGTATCCCCTTGGCATAGTCCGCGGAGGTGTCGAGGAAGTAGAGCAGCGCGCACATGAGGACGCTGCAGGCGAGCATCGGGATGGGGCCGAAGGTCCACATGAAGAGCGCGAGCGAGACGTAGAAGGCGCGGAGGCCGAGCGACCAGGCGTGGCTGCCGCGGTTCACCGTGCGCGCCACGTACGCCCTGAACTGCTCGGCCGCGCCGCCGCCGTCCTCGCCTCCCCCGGGCGGCAGGCCCAGCAGGAAGCTGGCGTGCGCGTACAGCCGGATGGCCTGCACGTTGCACACGAAGGCGAGCATGAAGCAGAGCGAGATGGCCAGGTACTTGACCGCGAACACCTGCCCCGTCTTGCTCCCGTACACCAGCAGCGGCGACGACGAGGGCGCCGCCGGGGAGCGGCCCGCCGTGGCGCCGATGAAGACGCTGATGACGGAGACGAGCGTGATGGCCGTCGTGGCCAGCACCGTGGACGCCATGATGTTGTTCCGCAGCGTCTGCACGGCCAGCACCCCGTTCTTCTCCGTGTTCTGCTCCGCGCTCCGAGAAACGGCGGGGGGCCGGGTTAGAATCGTTATCGCTCAAGGGGAGATGGGGAATTTTTGGGGGGCGGCGGTGGTACCGACGGCCATCATGACGGCGATCCAGCGCTTCCGGGCGAGGGCGTTGAGGCCGACGACGGTGCGGGTCGGGTGGCGCAGGATGGCGTGGAGGAGCCACAGGTGGTAGCCGGCCAGCACCGCCAGCCCCAGGGGCACCAGCACCAGATCAAGATCCTCCTCCCGAACCATTGTCGCCTCGATCCTCTCTCTGCTTCTTCTTCTCCGCACAATCTCTCTGTCTCTTCTGAGCTGGAATCAGAACAGAACGAAATACCTATGTACCGGGTAGGGTAGCACGAATATACCGCCACCAAAGAAAGGAAGGAAGCAACCTCGCCAGGGGTTACGAGCGAAGAGATTCCCCGGCGGGCGAATCGCGAATTCGCGATCACGCCTCCGGATGCCTTGATGGATATGATATAGTATGCGTGGCTCAGTTGCCCTCGACTTCGCAGCTTGACAGGTGCGAGCGCCTGGATCGACCCACGTACTACACCTTTGCTGGCGCAGTGCTGGTTCAACTTGAACTCTTCGCCAGCACGCACCAAGTAAGTGGCGGTGGTAATTACTTTGGAATAAATTCCACATTCACAACCAGCTTCAGAGATCTCACTTTACAGCCAAGTTTGATGCAGGTGGTTTCATGATCATCATGTGATCTTACAAAAATATAGGTAGGACATCATGACCCACATGAATGGAGTGATAGATAAAACAAAATCTTTTCTTTTTCAGCAATGACGCGATCTCACTTAACGGCCAAGTTTGCTGCAATTTTACATGTTCACATCCCATCAGCAGCAATTGATCAAGCACCCACTACTACCTCACATGATCGCTGCTCAAAAATCGAGAACCATACTTGCCAACGACTGGCCAAGTCATTGTTGCATCAGTCTACGCGTTCAAGTTTGTAATTGTGCAGCTTTCTAAACCATTACGTACTTAGGAACCACCGAAACAGCGTCACAGTTTACGCAAACACATAGGAACTTCTACATATATCTTTCACGGTCAAGCAGCTTTTGCAGCACAGCCTGCAAAGCAACCAATAGAAACACCATCATTCACAAAATGTGACAGCCCATTAATCTCTTCATAGTTTGAATAACGAATGCCAAGCGGATCAGAGATAAATAGTTGCATGGGGACAGGGACTCACGGGGCAGGTAGTGTTTAACTTGAGCGACTGTGCGAGCTCGCGAGAAGATATCAGAAGTTTGACAGGCCGATATTCAAGTGCCACATTTCTCCCTTTTGAGTCCGCGAAGGTGATCAACTCGCGGTCCAAAAGATGTTCAAAAGCCTGCAGCAGTGAAGTGTGTGAGCTTTTTGGACATTAGATACAGTACAACTATCATTAGTTCTCGATAATGCCAAATACTTACCCTGAAGCAAACAGTGGTTGCATACTTATCAGAAGTTTTGTAGGCATCCTGTATGGATTTGTATTCTGACATACAGCCAGTCCATCAACCATTCAACTGTCAGTTTTTTTGTCTAGGGCTGATCATGAAGGGAGGAGAGAAGATTATACTGTACCTTTTATTATAGTGTTGAAGTTGTACGACTTCTGCTCCTTATCTTCTAGTCTGTTCATGCATACAAGTATGTACAGTTCCAAAATCGACAGATCTGGCATCAAAATTTGGTGGCATGGATGTGATGCTATTGCATTGTTGCAACTCGATATACTGAACACGAAATGACAAAAATGAGAGCAAGCTCAGGGCAACATTATAACATGCTTGTTGATTTTTCTTTTGCTGGGAAGCATGTCTTCTTTAGTATCTAAATCACTAGAAAGAACCCTACAAACGTGGAGAAAATTAGGCAGGTACCACTCCCAAAAAAAGAAATTGGACAGATACTACTCCAAAAGTGCCTCTTTGCTAAGTACCATTCCAAACAGTAAAACAACATGGAAATGCTATTAACACGACCTTTTCCATCTATAATCACCGTTAGTGCCCCTACTAGTGTGAAGAATGATTAGTCCATTTTGACTTTAAACCTAATTTCCATTGAGTGGAGTTCTAATCCCAAACATATTCAACCTAGACAGAATCCAGCCAAACTCATACCAACCCCCATTTCGTCGTACTAAATCATGGTAAGTACATGTAAAAAAAAGGACCTAACTACGAGGTCAACAAGATCATAAAACACCACTAATAGTAGTAGACTAATACGTTTTTCATAATTTTTGCATTGTTTGAAATGACACTGAAATAATACTTAGTAAAAAGCTGTCAGTAAATTAAGGCCAACAAACAAAGAGACCTTGCAAACTGTCCATCTTGGGTTGCCTCTGCATGGAGGAAAGCGCATTCGTAAAGCATTCCATTGACAGAAGTCCAGATTCCATATCCATATATGACACCACTCTGAAGCTGAACAATTTCCACATTTAGTTAATAACCAAAATCTTGAAATTGTGAAGAGGAAAATGACCAAACAAACTGCTGAAAACCCTACAGAAATCTCAGGATGTTGCTGGTTGTTGCATCTGTATCCGTGAGAGAGTCAAGAATTCCTTTAAACTTCTTATTGCTGAAAATGCTCTACGGCATATAGGATAACAGAAATTTAACACAATTTGTTTTGCACAATGGAACAACGGAAATATGCCTCGCCTCAAGGCAACTTACTGGAATGATACCATATATACAGTTCTGCTCACTCTTAACAATTCTACAGTCCCCACCATGTCTTTCTTAGTTCTTTTAGCAATGTCATATATCAAACATAGACCTTACTCTTAAGACACCAGATTTTTTATTATCTAACATGATCATGTTCTATTATTAGTTCAGTACTACCAAGTAAGACGAGAACAAACATTCAAAGAAATGACCAATACTGGTCTGCAAGCATATGCAGTGAAAGGTTACATTGTAGAAAGGATACAGTAAGCATTGAATTGTACTCCGTAACGTAGTTTGTAGGTAAGCACGAGCCTTTGTCTAGCATTAGCAGATGTTCCATTAACCTGTAGCACCTCAACTGTTAAAAGGTTGTTTGAAGAAGAGAACTAGATCAACAATGCATTATCACTGGAAGAGAAAAACTGAGAAAGCACAAGACAGACCTCTGTATATCATCCAATGAAGAAGGAACAAAAAGAAGCTTCCTATGAGAGAAGCGAGATCGAACTCTTTTTTCTAGCAATTGATCTGCATCCTACAAGAAAACATATTTACAAAGCATGACCGCTTGAGCAACTACTCCAACTGGACTTTTCCAATACGCTGCGGGTAAAGGAAATTGCATGTTTCCTATGGAACTACAGAATTAAAAGTTAAATTATGATCCACTTCAATCCTCCTTCAACATATCAAGCATGTCCTCATTTGCTGATAGAAAAATACATGACATCTCAATCCAACTTCAGCGCTAGTGTAATATTGTCAAACTGCATGTGAAGTATGCTGCTGAAGTACAATGGCTACTATTACACCATCAAGTGTTTATTATTACTAAGAAAATAAGAATTTGGGGGCAGCATTGTGCATCCATACACAAGGCAAGAAATCGACTCATAAGAAATAGTTCTCCGACTTGCTTGGTGAAAATGCGACTAAAGTATGAGAAAGCTCAGTCCATACCAATCGGCAACTCATACCAATGACAACAGCTTGTGATGTAAGAGATTGCATTGCATCAAGTAAGCTATAGAGTAACCGCTGCTTCCCCTGTAATAGAACATCATGAACATCAGCCATCCTCTCATGTAAAAATGCCAGTAGCGGTACGTGAAAGCATGTTATGACCTTTTCTGTTTACAATTAGACAACTCATGACACATATTCATGTGAAAATTAATGCAGCTGATATTCAATCAAATGGACAGGGATTGGGAGTTAAATGAGGTATAGGAGCAGAAGGATATACAAAGTATATTCATTTCAACCTGAGCAAAGAGATCAAACTCTTCCAGGACAAAAATTACTGTCTTGTGAGCTAGTCCACACTCTCTACAGAAGAGAAAGATATAAGTGAGCACTAAAGTTACACGGAAACTGAAATAGGGAGTATCACTTTATACTGAGAAGTGTTCATCATTTTAATGCAGTACTGACCGTAACATGTCAATCATGAATTCAGTGTTGTCATCTGAAGAAGCCTAAATAAGAACATTTATATCAGCCTATTTGAAATGGCAGAACGAAAAAATCATTGAGTAAAGGAAAAGGTAGACGAGTATGCACCATTTTGGAAAATGACAACTCATGCTCCAGACACAGCTGCCTGGCAATTTCCTAAAAACACAAACTAGCAAAAATATCAGCATGGCTCAATGGTAGCGAAGAACGCAAAGCCACGGTACAGAGTCAAGTAAAACAGTAACAGACGCGAGTTGAGAGGTGCCACATAAAGATTGGAAGAAGCGAGCTTGGATATACTCAGCGGAAGTGTTAACCTTTGTAGCGCAGTTGTCATCACTATGTAACATGCCATTCAGCCTGATCTGAAAACATTACATAATTATCAACCTGAAGAGCAAGTTTAACAAGCGAGTAAATGACTAAATGCTATTGCTCTTAATAGAAAGAGAGAGCAGTAGATTTGAGAACACAGAAGGGAAAAATTGAGCGGGTTCACTTTTGTGAGATGCAACTAAATCATCGCTTGCGTTTCATGTAATGATTAATCATGCACATTTGTAGCGACACATTGTAGCCATACCACAGATATGGCATCAGGATGTTCCTCCTTCAGGTCCTCCAGAACCATGTCGAGCACCTGTAAAGAAATAAAACATGAGCCTCCCAACTGAGAACAAAACAATCAGGACATAGTGCCAATTGCGCACATGCACATTTCATCAAACACGGCACCTACATTTCGGCAAGTCAGGGAAGGGGAGAAGAAAAGGGGAAGCTCACCGCTCCTTTACCGCAGCCGCGGGGTCCAAGGAGGAGGACGGAGTTGTTGCAGGCCTCGGAGACGGAGCTGGACACGAGGTACTTCAGCTTACTGCGCAGCACAATACCGAGCGCGCCGGTTAGAGATGAGCTCGGAGCTATTTCTGGCGATGCGCGATGGGGCGGGGATGGGATCGATTCGGCTCACCTGTAGTTGGTGTCGGGCGAGGATCTGAGACGGGAGTGGACGAAGGCCGGGTCGCAGAGCCGGCCGCGCAGAACTGCCTGTGCTTGACTCGCCACGGGCGCCGCCGGCGCCGCCGCCGCCATGGGAGCGAGCTGTTGGCAGTGGCGGAGCCAAGATTGAAGTGAACCCCGGTGAAAAACTAGAAAAAATAACTCAGATTAAAGCATAAAACAGTATGGGAACCGATGGGAAAAAATCTCTTGATTTCTACGTATTTCTACACAATCGATAACGAAATGTCCAACCAAATAGTCATGCACAGGAGTGAGGTACAGAAGAACAAATGGAGCGAGCAAGAAGGAGCGTCGCGCGGACCTGGCGAGCTACGGGGGAGGAGGGAGGCGGGGCGGCGACCGGGAGAGCCTGCAGCCGGGAAGGCGCCAGGCAAGGGCGAGAGCAGCGGTGTGCGCGGGAGACGGAAGCAGCCGGGGAGCGGCGGCGCGTGCGCTGACGGAAAGTTGTAAACGAAACGAGCCCTGGCTTCGTTGGATTACTGGTGCTTGGGCCTCTGCCTTAGCATTGAGCCAGAATGGGCCTGCACCGCAGCGTCAAATAGTTGACGAAATCACTAATTAATTGGTTAGGTGGACAGTGGTATTCCTAACCCACCAGGGTTCAAATCCTGGTGCTCGCATTATTCCTGGATTTATTTCAGAATTTCCGGCGGTGCGCTTTCAGTGGGAGGAGACGTTCCCGTCGACGACGAGACGCCTACGGTGACTTCGTAAATCTGAAGATGATATACCGGCTCAGTCTCTCGGAGGTGCTCATAGGGGTAGGGTGTGCGTGCGTGCGTTCATAGGGATGAGTGTATGCGCGTGTATATGAGCGTTTGTGTCTGTACTGATGCTCAAAAAAAACTTGTTGCAAAGAACACTCCACTTTCTTAGGTCGTGACAAGTGGCGCACATGCAGCGTGTCACTTGTCGCAACCTGGGAGTTTTTATTTTTTTCGTAGATTTGTTTATTCAAAATGTTTTATCTCTTAAACCGTGCGTCCAAATCTTGAACCGTTTTCACCATTGGATTCCTCGCGACGAGATCTTCAAAACTAGATCCCATATTGATAGGTTTTGACGAACTTTTTTTTCACAAAAAAACCGGACAAAAAAACCGGGCGAAAAAACCGAACCGGGAGCATGGTTTTTTTCTCTTTCCGAAAGAGGCACGCCCGTGCCTCTCGCGAAATCACAACTGTGTCTTTCATGGAAGCAAAACCGTGACTCTCGTGAAAGGAAAAAAAATAGAAAACACGTCTTTTTTCCGTTTCCTAGAGGCACGGACGTGACTCTCGTGAAAGCACAACCGTGCCTCTCGCGAAAGAAAAAAAACAGAAAACGCGTATTTTTTCCCTTTCCTAGAGGCACGGCCGTGACTTTCGCGTAAGCATAACCGTGCCTCTCGCGGAAGCAAAACCGTGACTCTCACGGAAGAAAAAAAACAGAAAACGCGTTTTGTTTTTCCCTTTCGGAGAGGCACGGTCGTGACTCTCGCGAAAGCACGACCGTGCCTCTCGCGGAAGCAAAACCGTGACTATCGCGAAAGGAAAAAAAACGCGTTTTTTCGTTTCTGAAAGGCATGGCCGTGACTCTCGATAAAGCACAACTGTGCCTCTCGCGGAAGAAAAACCATGACTTTTGCGAAAGGAAAAAAAAGCGTTTTTTCGCGCAAAAAAATCGAATTTCTTTTTATCGAAAAGCTAAGAAAGACCGGGGGAAAACCAAAACGTCGAAAAAACCCGGAAAAAATCGTTTAAAAATCCGAAAACGCGTACAGAAAAATAAAAAAACAAAATCCGAAGGAAGTGTCCAGAGCGCGACACGTGGCGAATGAGTGAGAGCACGCCAAGTGGCGCTGATCGTTGCGAGGCTCCCGAAGGAGCGCTCGTTAACTAGTTGCTCCCAATAGTTGAGGCGTGCATATGGGCGAGCCTAGTTGGTCTCTTCAGTTTGCAAAGGTTTTTATTCGTTGAAAATATTTTAAATTTTGAGTATTTCTTTCACATTTTTTGAAGCATGTGAACATTCTTTTAGAAACAATCTCATCATTTCCCGTTTATACTCCCCGCAAGAAAATATCATTTCCCGCTTATATGTTATCTGGATTAACAAATAGTTTTATTCTCCATTATTTGTCTCTCTCATTTCCATTTGTAGTAAAATTGATGCTCCAAAGAGCCTATGCAAGCAAGCAGTCTTACTTGCTGGATGCGACGCGGGGAAGCCAATGACAATGTTGGTGTAGGTGCACCTCCATGTAGGTACTTGCATTCAGTGCACCTCATACAATTTGTGGCTTCTTCCAGAAATTCCAAGTTGCTAAGGGCAGTCGGCATGATCTACTTATGATGTTTGGGTGAAGCTTGTGTGATTCCGCATGTCTTTGATGTACTATGGGCGATCTTGTGGCAACTGATATGTGGTGAATGCATAGCAGGCACGACGAGTCTCCGGTTAACAGAGTTAATTGTTTTTTGTAGATCTTTCTCTAGTTTCTTATTGCTCTTTTTTTTAACAAGAGATTGCTCTTCTTGTCATAATCTGGGAGGCTGATACGGATTGTGATGTGGTTCGTATCGTTTTCTTTTTAACATTTTATGTGTCTAATTGTCGTGGAACTTGAACCCGGGTCCAGATTATGTGTGTTGAAAATGGTACTTCTTCCATTTTTTATACAAGTGAAAACTAGTTTTGTAATTTTTATGACATGTGAATAGCGACCTCCTCCGGATTCGATCCATGAACCGCGGTACACAGCTGGTGCCCCTCAGGGTTGTGGTTAGCATTCGAGACATTCGATTACCGGGCGGCAACTGTATGTCTCGGTGCCCCACAAGAAATCGACTTACCGGGCAAAGTATCCCGAATTTTTCAATTTAAATGATTTAACTGAAATTTGGATGAATTTTATCTGATTCAAAATTCATTCAAAAATTTCATTGGGTAACCGCTCGGTATTTGTCGGTACCGCGGTAATGGAAAATTTCAGTGCCTCACCAGTTATTAATCTGGGATCCAAAACCTTGGTGCCCCTGCGAGGGGTTTGCATTTTGATGAGCCAAAGGCGGTGGCTGATCCAGGAATTGGTTGCTAGGTATTCATTTGTAAAAAAAAGTTACAATACAATATAAATTTGTTGCAGATAGGACAACAAATGTGTAGTAAGCTAGTGGTGTTAAATTGCTTTGGATCGGGTAGGTTAGATCATCGGTAGTCCTACCTTCTGCTTGGCCTGACGAGCTCGATTCGGAGGCCATCGTGGTGAGATGGACACGTCGGTGATGGCAGAGAGTGGATGGCGGCAGTAGTGGAGCTTCCTGTGAGCGCCGCGCTAACCCTAGATCGGTAGGGGATTTCGGTGGGGTTTGTGGCAGCGATTATAACATCCTCGATGCGACTATATCTCCCACGTGTCGAGGCACGACTTAGAGGCATAATCGCATTGAAGGCATATGTCGCAAGTTAGGCAATCTTCACAACATCCCATGTAATATAAATCATAAAGGGGAGATAACATAGTTGGCTTACACTCGCCACGTCAATCAAGTACATAAATAACATTACATCAACCAAACACTCATGGCCCGACTACGGCGCCAAAATGGAAGATAACCCAACATGCGACATGGTCCCGATCACCCCCAACTGGGCACCACTACTGATCATCAGGAAAAGAAACATAGTAACGTTGAGAGTCTTCGTCGAACTCCCACTTGAGCTCAAACGCGTCACCTGGAGCGGAAACATCAGGCCCAGCATCTGGTGTAATAGTAATCTGTGAGCCACAGGGACTCAGCAATCTCGCACCCTCGCGATCAAGACTATTTAAGCTTATAGGCAAGGCAAGGTAAAATATGTGGAGCTGCAACAAGCGACTAGCAAATATGGTGGCTATCTTATTCGCAAAAGAGAGCGAGAAGAGGAGGCAAAGCGCGAGCGAGAAACTAGAGAGCAACCTGCGCAAACATTACTCCAACACCGTGTCCACTTCCCGGACTCCGCCGAGAAGAGGCCATCACGGTAACACACTCAGTTGATTCATTTTAATTAAGTTAAGGTTCAAGTTATCTACAACCGGACATTAACAAATTTCCATCTGCCCATAACCGCGGGCACGGCTTTCGAAAGTTCAAATCCCTGCAGGGAAGTCCTAACTTAGCCCATGACAAGCTCTCACGGTCAACGAAGGAATAGACCTCCTTCCAAGACGTTCCGATCAGACTCGGTATCTCGGTTATTCAAGACACTTCGACAGGTTAAAACAAGACCAGCAACACCGCCCGAATGTGCCGAAAAATCCCGATAGGAGCTGCACATATCTCGTTCTCAGGGCACACTCAGATTGTCCAAACTTCCGGTAGGCCAGCCCAGAGTTGCCCCTGGTGGCCACCGGCGGCTGACGAGGTGTACCAACACTCAAAGGAGCACTGGCCCGGGGGGGGGGTCAAAATAAGATGACCCTCGGGCTCCGGAAACCCAAGGGAAAAGAGGCTAGGTGGCAAATGGTAAACCAAGGTTGGGCATTACTGGAAAAGCTTTAATCAAGGCGAACTATCAAGGGGTTCCCATTATAACCCAACCGCGTAAGGAACGCAAAATCCGGGAACATAACACCGATATGACGGAAACTAGGGCGGCAAGAGTGGAACAAAACACTAGGCGAGAGGCCGAGCCTTCCACCCTTTACCAAGTATATAGATGCATTAAGATAACAAGATAATATAATGATATCCCAACAAGTAAATAAATGTTCCAACAAGGAACGGCCTCCAATCTTCACCTGCAACTAGCAACGCTATAAGAGGGGCTGAGCAAAGCGGTAACATAGCCAATCAACGGTTTGCTAGGATAAGGTGGGTTAGAGGTTTGACATGGCAATTTGGGAGGCTTGAAAGCAATTGGTAGGCATCGTAGCATTGGCATAACAAAAGAGCGAGCAATCTAGCATAGCAAAGATAGTAGTGATTTCGAGGGTATGATCATCTTGCCTGCAAAATTGTCAGAGTTGACTGGATCCTCGAAAGCAGACTCAACGGGCTCCTCGTTAGCGAACTCGTCTCCCGGCTCTACCCAAACAAGACAAA